GAGTGAACAGAATGTCCAACAAGGAGGTGTGTCCTTGGGCAAGACATTTAACCTCAACCTCCCGCTGCTTCGTCAACACTGTGTGAATGTGTGTGAATGTGTGTGAATGTGGCCTGCAGTGTAAAAAAGCTGAGTTGTCTGAAGACTAGAAAAGTGCTACACAAGCTCAATCCATTCAGCATTTCCACTGATCGGTCACATGAAGTTCAAACTTCATTTTTGTGACAGTACTTTGTTATGAATTGGCGCTGTGCAAATAAAGATGGATTGATTGCATGGATTAATATGTCACATCCTTCATTCTCTACTACTAATATATATGGCCTTTCTTTTCTGAAAGAGTCCTTCGGAAACATTGAATAAAATACAGAGAGTAAAATGTGTAAAACCTCAGGGACAAACACAACTCCTTCTTTCCATTGAAGTCTCATAAGAAGCTGTCTCTACAGTGGTTCACTGGTTGGTATCATCTTGGGACTTATGAGGCCTTGTCACATCATCTTGATAATGTTTGAATATAAATAGCTGAGACAGAGCCTCCGTGACTCAGGGGACACGGCTGCATGCTGCTGCTTTATGACTAAAGCAAACCTGCCTCAGGCTGCATGCATGCAGCAACAGCACTGACTGGAAGGCCTTTGGCGATGCTGCTTTCAGCTGTTACGCTCCGAGACTGTGGAACAAGCTTCCTGAGGGTCTGAGAGGAGCCCAGATTATTGAGATTTTTAAACACAGTCTTAAAACTCATTTATTCAGTCTGGCTTTTATATAGTGTTTTATATCAATTCAAATCTTAACATTACTGTATTGTCTTTTTTATCCTACTACAATTTTAAATATTTTCCTCTTATGTATTTATTTTAATATCTTGTTGCTTTTGTGTCGTATTTTCTTTTATTTTATTTTTATACTTTTTTTAATTCTTATTGGTGTGCATTAGTCTCAATGATTTTATCAATGATTTTATAAACTACTTTTTGTCAATAACTTTTCTGCACTCTTGTAAAGCACTTTGAACTGCAATTTAATTTGTCTGAAAGGTGCTATATGAATAAAGCTTGATTGATTGATTGATTGATTGATTGATTGATTGATTGAAGACACATCATCAGACTAACACTTCAGTTAAAATACAGAAATGTATGCTTTGATCATTCAGAGTCAGTGCAGACAGGGTTTCAAACTTAAGTCAGAGACTTTAGAACTGATGTCTTTACACTCATAAACAACGTGAGCTTTTAGACTTCAGATTTACTCGACATAGCTTAGCTGAAATGAGACTGTACGGGTAAAAACAACGAGAACTTTCCTGTCAGCTATAACACTTCAGAAAGATTTATGGGCACAATGGTGTACAGCTGCTGCAAAATCATTTCACATGACACTCCCATGTGAGTTGATTTAAGGGAAGGGGGGGGGGAAAGAAATTTCTGCATGCCCTTAAAATCCCTGAACAACGGGCAAAAACCCAACCAACTGAGGATACTGCTGTGTTAGACAAAGACAAACAGTTTCATCCCAGGAGCCATAGCAGCCTTCGACCAGCACTCCAAATGACCCCCATAAGGTTTAGTCTTGACAGACCCAAATCTACCTCTTCTGTTGCTGTTGAAGTAGACATACTGTAAGACCAGCTGCAATCTAAATCTTGTTGTACCCTGTACAAAGACAACCAACATGTCTTCCCCCCCTTGTAAAGATGAAGGGCTAACCAACTCAAACATATTGGACAGTTAAAAGCTAATAACCACTTTGTTAATGGAAATACATCAATGATAAAGTATTAGGTCACCAAATGAGCACAAAGATGATTTTGCTTTAAGTAAATGGAATTAAAAACCTTTAGAATTAAATATCATATTATCAGTTAACTAACAGTTCAGTCGTTGGTGAATATTTGAATCTAAAATGCTTTTTCATCAGTGCACTGATGAAAAAACATGCATCAGCTGAGCTAAAAGTGAGGATGAAATATCGGCATAAAAAATTCAGCTGCGATTATTTCCAAAGCAATAAAGAAGAAACAACTCAGGTTGTTTGCCAGGACTTCAAGCTTCCACAAACCTTAAAGAGAATGGTTAATAGACACACACTTATCTGTTCAAAAGACTCTGAATCCATGTCAGGCTTTTTGAAAATACAAGTTTTAAAAAGTTAGACATATCTCCTGCTGTCTCTCACATGTCTGCAAACGTCTAGAAGCTGCAATTTTATGCATGTAAGAACAGCCAAGCTTGATCTTCTAAAAGCAGGATCATTTTGTGTGATAGGCCGGATCACAACATGACACTGCCTGCACTGACGAGGAAGTGAAGCCTATTTCGATCTTTGTTTTGTTCTTTTGCAACACGAGATAAAAGATAAACAAGTCAAGATCTCTCCTGCAAATGATGTGTCAAAACTGAAAACTGAGTGAATCAAATCTATGGATACATTAGGGCTTCTGCACTTTCATAACAGGTACCACTAAAGGTTTATTAAGAAAAGCTTTAACATCAATCACTCTCCCCAGTATGAAATTCATAATGTATTTGGTGAGCCATGGAGACCAAACATCTGACAATACAGGAAAACAGATGCTAAAATAAGACTGAATATTAAGAAATACAACATTTACTTGACTGAGTTATTTGGCATAATAATAAAATAAAAAATTATCAGAGGAAGAAAATAACAACCCTCAAAACCATCATGGTGAAGAACATAAACTCTATTGGTGAAATGTAAAATGTATCTTCCTTTGCTCCAATGTGTATAGTATTGAATGTTACAGCTCGTCATCGTGGAAAGACTTTTCAATTAAACGCGTTTATAATATCAATTAATTTAAAAACATTTTTTTTTAATGTAATGCTAAATGACTTTTGTGCTCTATATATTGCAAAACTGTTGATTTTAATGTTTAAATATGTTTATTCTCTTTACCTGCAGCTATAACCCAAGAAACATGAAAAGCTGTTCAGATCAACATCAAGGAGAAGGATTTTTTTTTTCTCAAACCTTGTAGTACATCTAAAAAGAGATGCAGCATCAGAAGCAGGCAGAGGGAAATCATGATCAAACCTGCTGTGTTTGCAGAGGGAGGTCTGGCACTACAGATTACGCTTGTCAGATGGCAGCATAGACACGATGATGACGCAAAAGGCATTTCATCTCAGTCATAGGTAGCCCCGACACGAGCCGTTCAAACTCCACTCAAAAATCTGGGAATTTCATGTTTCCATACAAACACACACCAAGGTTAAGTCAACAGAAAAGATCCCAGACAAACTACTAGATCTATCGTGCAAAACATGATAACGTTCATTTGTCGTTTTAGTTTAATGCCGCTGGTCAATGGGAATTTTTAAGGCATGTAAATAGTAAAAGATTGCACTTTAATGGGACGCGTTGATTTTTGGCGTATTGGATGTATGCCGAATTAAATACATTTTTCTAATTCTTAATGGGACACCTTCAATCAAACTGTCTTTCAGAGTCTGTTCAAGACAGAATTAAACTTTTAGATTTGTGAATGGAGTTTGGTGATGGTTCTGCTCTGCCCGAGGGGATCGCGAGGCAGAGCTTTTAGGTGTTGGCTGCAGCTGCATCCAACCTACAGTCAGTGATGGTGACATGTTTCTTATGCGGGACAATCAGCGAGCACACTACACCTCTACTTTAATGTTGCCTTCCCAGGACACACGCGTTTTCCGCTCATTAATAATAAAACAGTCAAGGACATGACATCGATACTGTCGGGCAAAGAGCTGCGTCAAGTCCGCAGCAGCCGTGACACAAAACACGGAAATACAGGATATTGCATTTCAATATAAGAGCGCACAACCTTCATTCAGTTTAACATTTTGAAAGCATAATATTTCATGCAATGCAAAGTGAGAAATATTAAAACCTTTAAGAGTGATAAAAAGGAAATTAAAAAAAACCTATGCTATGAAAACATCTTACATGAACAAACAAAAAACAATATAGAGAATCAATATGATGCAGTTATTGAGAGTCAACTGAGGTCACGAAGTCTAAAATTCTTACAATCAAATTATTTTTATACCATATAAGGTAATTTTTTTGTTGTATCTTCTGCCTCAAATTTATTTCTCTCTTTTGTCTATTTATCATTGTGCCCATCTTAAGTTTATACACATTTTTAGTGAATGTGTCATATTTGCAACTTTTCTTACTTTCAAATCAAATAATATTCCAATCATCACATTCTTATCATATTAAATAATATCTATTTTTGTTGAAGCGTGAGTAGTTATTTAATATTTCATTATGTTTCCATTCTTATATACATTTCTCTGTTTATTATCTGCAGCATAAGACCAAGGCAAAGCACCAGTTATTGATGAAGGCCCATGGTTCCTTATTATAACAACTACAGTAAACTTTACTATTTCTAGTTTATTCTGGTTTATTAATTTAGCCTTCTATTATACATATTTACTTTTCAAAATTGCTTTTAGAGATATGGATTTCCACATGTTAAGCTTCCCTGGGGCCCTTTGGAGGTGCTTAACAATTTTAAAGTCCTATAACAATCATTGTATTTGTAATATTTAATATTAATGGTGAAAAATAGTTTGGAAATAAATCAAATCATGATTCTACTAGTAGTTGTTAACATCGATAACGAGAGGGATTTTATTTTGAAGGCTAATAGCGGATGTTACATATGTGTTGCTGTGTGTTTGACAAATGTCGCTCAATATTATATATTTAGGATTATTTATAACTGGACAAGGATTTTCTGGTTAACATTGAAACATTAAAAAAATGAACTAAAATTAAAAATTAATTAAATTAAAACGGATGACACACTGCGGTTACCAGGCAACGAGGAATGTGAGCATAGCAACGCCTAAAACTCCCTTCAAAATAACATTACATTATGAGGTTAGCTTTAGCAAAGCGTTAGCAGCCAAGTTCCTCATCATCCTGTAATCTGCCGGTAAACACAGAACCGACATGCGGGTTTACACAAACGACTGTCGGCTTACCTTTTGCCTCACAGTCAGCACAGTACTTGTTGTCGTCCTCTCAGCAGTTTAGACAGAATGGCCTGATGCTGCTCATTCAGTTTCTGGGCTTTTTCTCTCTCTGACCGCGTCGTCATCTTGCCCACTGTTTGTAGTTTAAAGTGCTGTTCGTATGAAGCCGATAAAGACAACGGAGGGCTCAGCTTGTGTTACAAAGGGTGGGACATTCCCGTGAAGCTGCACTGTGTTCAGTTAGCTTGCAACCTGCTAACAAGGTAATATCATCATCATCCCTGCTGCCTTCAAGACCGTCGGAAATGACAATGCCGTACATGACTCAGAATAAAGCTTTACTTGTGAGGAGTGTTGGGCATAAAACAGCATACAGGAAGACAATTAGCTAAAACATGTGTGGCAAGCTAACAACAATACGCAGAAATAGCAGTTGTGAATCCGAATAACGTATTGGTTTTGATTTGGACCAATATTAAAACTCCATTAACAAAATAAATCACGCAGAATGTAATGTTCAGTTATTAATGGTGTCATAATGTTGATTGGCCATCAGAGTGCACTGACTCCATGGTTAGTTTTTCCTTTCCCGAGTGATGAGTTTGAGGATACACAAAGACCACAACTTGAACTTGAGGCTGGGATTTTATTAAGATGAATGAAAGTGTAGTTTGAACAGGGATAGGCTAGTCCTCCTCTTTTGGAGCTCCTCATCTGGAAATCCACCACTACCTCATGTTGGTTCTTAGAGTGACATGTCAATCATAGATACGGTTC